GACCGAGCGAGTGAGCGCATGACCATGTGACTGAGCGAGTGAGCGTGTGACGAGCGAGTGAGCGTGTGACCGAGCGAGTGAGCGCGTGACCATGACTGAGCACGTGACCATGTGACCGAGCGAGTGAGCGCATGAGCGTGTGACGAGCGAGTGAGCGCATGCCCATGTGATGCTGAGCGAGTGAGCGTGTGACCGAGCGAGTGAGCGCGTGACCATGTGACTGAGCGCGTGACCATGTGACCGAGCGAGTGAGCGATGAGCGTGTGACGACGCGAGTGAGCGGCATGCCCATGTGACTGAGAGTGAGCGTGTGACCGAGCGAGTGAGCGCATGCCCATGTGACTGAGCGAGTGAGCATGTGACTGAGCGAGTGAGCGCATGACCATGTGACTGAGCGAGTGAGCTGTGACTGAGCGATGTGGCGCTGACCATGTGACTGAGCGAGTGAGCGTGACTGAGCGAGTGACGCGTGCCATGTGACTGAGCGAGTGAGCATGTGTGACTGAGCGAGTGAGCGCATGACCATGTGACTGAGCGAGTGAGCGTGTGACTGAGCGAGTGAGCGTGTGACTGAGCGAGTGAGCGCATGCCCATGTGACTGAGCGAGTGAGCATGTGACTGAGCGAGGTGAGCGCATGACCATGTGACTGAGCGAGTGAGCGTGTGACTGAGCGAGTGAGCGTGTTGACTGAGCGAGTGAGCATGTGACTGAGCGAGTGAGCGCATGCCCATGTGACTGAGCGAGTGAGCGTGTGACTGAGCGATGTGAGCGCATGCCCATGTGACTGAGCGAGTGAGCGTGTGACTGAGCGAGTGAGCATGTGACTGAGCGAGTGAGCGCATGCCCATGTGACTGAGCGAGTGAGCATGTGACTGAGCGCGTGAGCGCGTGACTGCGTGCGTCTGCTTGTCGCGCGACAGAGCGGGTGTCTCACTGGTATTCCGGAAGAGCGCAGGCCAACATCAGGAACATGAGCCCCACCGCTCCGCCAAACGACAACCCCACCAGCGCTGCAACACACGCAGAAATACGCAGACACAACAAGTACACGCGCGCGCTCATCAGCCTGCACTCACCAAAAGCCAACGGACAACTTTGACAAACAGCTTAGAGCGCGGACTTACATTCGATTAAATATTAAGAGGCCATTAGACAAATGAAGAGACCTATACACGGTGAACATGTGAACCCGTCGTGCTGACGAACATTTGAACCTGTCCTGGGCCTCCCCTAGGCCATGGTTTTTACCCTTTCAACTGGTACAAAAACTGACACCTTTATACAAGGCATCATGTTTGCAATAACCACAACACAAGCAGTCAAAATGCAAACAAAAAGAAACAACTCTGCTAATGATAATGATATGCACTGTCCTTGAAGTTGATTGGTCCACACCCGAGACAGCTTTTCTTCGAGCCTAGTCTCCATTGGTGTTGGACCAGATGACGCCAAAAGGCGCACAACTCAAAAACAGCGCACTATCAGAGTATTGAGAGCTCGGGGTAAGCATTTACACTATGAGACCTCCTTTACCAGTGGCAAAATATAGTAATAGGTTTTTACCCTTTCAACTGGTCCAACACCAATGGAGACTAGGCTCTAAGAAAAGCTGTCTCGGGTGTGGACCAATCAACTTCAAGGACAGTGCATATCATTATCATCATCAGAGTTGTTTCTTTTTGTTTGCATTTTGACTGCTTGTGTTGTGGTTATTGCAAACATGATGCCTTGTATAAAGGTGTCAGTTTTTGTACCAGTTGAAAGGGTAAAAACCTATTACTATATTTTGCCACTGGTAAAGGAGATGACTCATAGTGTAAATACCTTGCCTAGTATGCAGAAAGTCATCACAATGAACGCCCTGCTCTATATATTTGGAGTTTCAGTCTCTCTCTCGACCCTCTCTCCCCATGGTGGCGTGCATTTTTCTCCGAGTCCTCCCGTTTTTTCCCTACACTTTTAGAATCAACACGCGTTTCAAGAGTAGTTGGCTGCTATAAAGTTCCACGGGATGATGATAAGTCACTTCGGTGAGTTATCATTAGTGGCCAGGTCGCTTCTCAAAAAGAGCTCTACATACCTTAGTGGTTTAATAAAAGTTAGTTTTGTTAAGTCTTAAGGTCGAATGGGTATTGAATGACTACCTCGTGCGGGGCGTGTAGTAAAACATTTCCACTAGCTTAACTGGCCTTCGTAAATTATTATGGAACGTGTGGCATGCAGCAAAGCACCTAAATGACATAGGTTAAGTTAAACTATTTTAATAATTTGTATTTTACCAGATAAGGCCCCACTGATCTCTTTATCAGAAGAGACCCCACTACCACAACTGACAGTCCAACGCTTGTCATCATCACGTGGAAATTTATAGCAGCAGCAAAACACGCTAAACGCGTGACGTTTATTCTAAATGTGGTAGGGGAAAAAAACGGAGGATCCAAGATAAATATCCATGCGACCACAGGGAGAGAGACGCCGCAAACTCCAAATATACATCAGCAGCAACAGGCATTGTCAGGGTCGAAATTGAACCCATGACCTCCTTGTTTACCAGGCGAGGTGGTTAACATCTCTTAGCTACTGCTGGGTGTGTCGTTGACATCGTCGCATGATTCGTGGGAGGCTTCAGCTTTGCGGGGCGGGGGGCCTTCATCCAGCAGTGGATAGAGCAGCACGACCTCGTGATGTTGATGGTGGTGGAGAGAGGGATGTGGCCTCGGATGTAAGCTCGGAATTACACAAAAAGATTGTTGTTTTAAAGAGGAAGACGAGGTTATTACGCAAGCTCAGGACATCATCTTCATTCAGCAGTGGATAGAGCAACACGGCCGAGAGAGACGCACGCTTGGAATGACAGCGAGCGCAGAAGTTAGGGGGACGCAGCGATCATGGATGTTCATCAAACAGTGCATGGATCCTGATGATGATAATGATAGGAGAGGCGTACGCTGGGAATGAAATTGAAAGAACACATGGGTAAGAAAACATTCGTAGGTTACTGATACTGGTAGGAACCTCCTGGTTACACCAGCCCGTGTCCGTTCGTCATGCAGGGAGGGGCTGGGTGGGGAGGGGCTGGGTGGGGCTGGGTGGGGGGTGGGAGGGGTGGGGCCAGGTGGGGAGGGGCTGGGTGGGGAGGGGCTGGGTGGGGAGTGGCTGGGTGGGGCTGGGTGGGGGGTGGGAGGGGTGGGGCTGGGTGGGGATGGGCTGGTCACCCCGTGGTGCCCTTATAAAACTCAACGTTTAACCTACTCACGCCGGCTTGTGCCCGCCCTCACAGTCGGGCATATTTGCGGAATACACCACGCCGCCGTTGACCCTGGCCATTGACCGAGCAACCCAACGTTCCTACCAGCTCCCTCCGCAGGAATGTGTTCATTAGGGCACCACGGTGGCTAGGAGATGTTAACTATCTTGCCTGGTATACAGGAGGTCGTGGGTTCGATTCCAACCATGACGATGCCTGCTGTATATATGGAGTTTGCATGTCTCTCTCTCTCTCATCATCATCACGGTGGCTAAGGATTTCCCCCCCCCCTCCACATTTAGAATCAACATCACCACGCGTTTAAGAGTCATTCGGCTTCTTCTATACATGTCAACTCCCTTATCAGTGCCTAACTTATTACGGACCAATTCAGACCTTATTGGTATAAACATAGATTTGATGAAGCTTTAGTGAGGGACTTTACCTGGTATAAACATAGATTTGATGTAGCTTTAGTAAGGGACTCTACCTGGTATAAACATAGATTTGATGTAGCTTTAGTGAGGGACTTTACCTGGTATAAACATAGATTTGATGTAGCTTTAGTGAGGGACTTTACCTGGTATAAACATAGATTTGATGTAGCTTTAGTGAGGGTCTTTACCTGGTATAAACATAGATTTGATGTAGCTTTAGTAAGGGACTTTACCTGGTATAAACATAGATTTGATTAAGCTTTAGTGAGGGTCTTTACCTGGTATAAACATAGATTTGATTAAGCTTTAGTGAGGGACTTTACCTGGTATAAACATAGATTTGATGTAGCTTTAGTGAGGGACTTTACCTGGTATAAACATAGATTTGATTAAGCTTTAGTGAGGGTCTTTACCTGGTATAAACATAGATTTGATGCAGCTTTAGTGAGGGACTTTACCTGGTATAAACATAGATTTGATGCAGCTTTAGTGAGGGACTTTACCTGGTATAAACATAGATTTGATTAAGCTTTAGTGAGGGTCTTTACCTGGTATAAACATAGATTTGATGCAGCTTTAGTGAGGGACTTTACCTGGTATAAACATAGATTTGATTAAGCTTTAGTGAGGGACTTTACCTGGTATAAACATAGATTTGATGCAGCTTTAGTGAGGGACTTTACCTGGTATAAACATAGATTTGATTAAGCTTTAGTGAGGGACTTTACCTGGTATAAACATAGATTTGATGCAGCTTTAGTGAGGGACTTTACCTGGTATAAACATAGATTTGATGCAGCTTTAGTGAGGGACTTTACCTGGTATAAACATAGATTTGATGTAGCTTTAGTGAGGGACTTTACCTGGTATAAACATAGATTTGATGCAGCTTTAGTGAGGGACTTTACCTGGTATAAACATAGATTTGATGTAGCTTTAGTGAGGGACTTTACCTGGTATAAACATAGATTTGATGTAGCTTTAGTGAGGGACTTTACCTGGTATAAACATAGATTTGATGTAGCTTTAGTGAGGGACTTTACCTGGTATAAACATAGATTTGATGCAGCTTTAGTGAGGGACTTTACCTGGTATAAACATAGATTTGATATAGCTTTAGTGAGGGTCTTTACCTGGTATAATCATAGATTTGATGCAGCTTTAGTGAGGGACTTTACCTGGTATAAACATAGATTTGGTGTAGCTTTAGTGAGGGACTTTACCTGGTATAAACATAGATTTGATGTAGCTTTAGTGAGGGACTTTACCTGGTATAAACATAGATTTGATACAGCTTTAGTGAGGGACTTTACCTGGTATAAACATAGATTTGATGTAGCTTTAGTGAGGGACTTTACCTGGTATAAACATAGATTTGATACAGCTTTAGTGAGGGACTTTACCTGGTATAAACATAGATTTGATGTAGCTTTAGTGAGGGACTTTACCTGGTATAAACATAGATTTGATGTAGCTTTAGTGAGGGACTTTACCTGGTATAAACATAGATTTGATGCAGCTTTAGTGAGGGACTTTACCTGGTATAAACATAGATTTGATGTAGCTTTAGTGAGGGTCTTTACCTGGTATAAAATATATTTGATTAAGCTTTAGTAAGGGACTTTATCTGGTATAAAAACATAGATTTCACGTAGCTTTAGTGAGGGCCTATCCCTGTATTAAAAAAATCAACACAGTTTTGTTTTAAAAAAATCACAACCCAGCACACGATACGCCTCATGACAGAGCAATACGACGAGTAAATAACAAGGTGCACTTAAGAGCCCGCAACCATCGCCAATCTTGTTACAAAATCCGCGGAGGACGAACATCTCCGCTCCCTCACCTCTGATGCCCGCCATTGTCCGTCCAGGGCCACCCTCGAGATTTCCCAGTGCAGATGCGCATCGTCCCCGCCCCGTCACCGCCGTTCATTGGTCGCACCAACGGACACGTCTTGCAAGCCTCAGCCAATGAGGGGACAGCGCAGGGCTTGTGCGCGTTACGAATTGTAATGAGGGGGCGTGTACGGTGAAACTTCCCGCCCTTTCCCTCCCCACCGTCACCGCCGCTCATTGGTCGAGCCGAGGTGACACGTGACGCAAGCCTCGACCAATGAGGGGGCAGCGTGCCGGCTGGTGCGCGCTGTGAATTATAATGAACGGCGACCCTCTCGATTTCCCAGTGCAGATGCGCATCGCCACCCGCCCGTCACCGCCGCTCATTGGTCGCGCCAACGTCGCGCGTCACGCAAGCGTTGGCCAATCAGAGGACAGCGGCGGACTTGTGCGCGCTACGAATTGTAATGAGGGGGCGCGGTTAGGAAAGCTGGCCACGTGACTTTTCTCGATGAACCCTCGCGCATAATTTAGCATAAATTAGCATAAATTACATTCCGCGCATAAAATTTGCATAAATTAGACATCGATGTTACTATCGATCAGGGGTTCTCCTAACCTTGACTGTAGCCTTGCACCATTTTGCTTTAACAATCGTTAAATAACTGCAACAATGTCAATGAATGCATTGGGAGGTCCGTGGCATAACTACGTAGGGGTTTAATGAAAACTTACGTTATCCAAGTTCAAGTTAATTGATTAGGTATAGCCCTGTGAGCCATTCGGCTCTTGAATCGGGTGCAACCGCAACAAACAAAAAACATGAACAAGAACACATCTTATAGTGAATATGATGCAGCAAATCTGGCTGTGACGGTCCCACCTGATGACGGAGACTTGTTTTGCCTCCGAAACGTCGTGATTTTTATTTTTTATTTATTTTGATGTTTTACCTACGTGACTTTACCGAAAAAACTTAAGAATATGTAACCGAGTGTAAACAGAAAATCCAAAAAAGACAGCAAAATATTGAAGAAAAAGCACCGTACACCAACGCTGTGTGCAAACATCCCAGTGGGATGCAAGTCAAACAACAACAACAACCACAAGACAACTTAGATTAAGGCCATCGGTCTAACTCTGTACCACAACAAACAACAACAACAACCACAAGACAACTCAGATTAAGGCCATCAGTCTAACTCTGTACTACAACAAACAACAACCACAAGACAACTTAGATTAAGGCCATCAGTCTAACTCTGTACTACAACAAACAACAACCACAAGACAACTTAGATTAAGGCCATCAGTCTAACTCTGTACTACAACAAACAACAACAACAACCACAAGACAACTTAGATTAAGGCCATCGGTCTAACTCTGTACCACAACAAACAACAACAACAACCACAAGACAACTTAGATTAAGGCCATCGGTCTAACTCTGTGGCTTAATTTGCGATTTCGATTTTTTTTGTCCACAAAATAAATCTGCCCATGACTCGCTACCCCCCCCCCCCCCCCCACACACACAGAAAGGGCATCTCGCAGGTTGAGAAGATGACCTGATCTAAATCATCATATTCACAATGTCATTTATACGAAGATTTGGTTACACTATTAATTACGAGCGAGTTGGGTTTAATTAAGTAGAACGTGTTGTCTATATTTATTTAAAGTTGCACATTTTGATGTGACGTCACATTTCTCCAACTTCCCCCCCCCCCCGCCTCAATTTAAAGCTTTCGTGACTGCAGGGATTCATCTTCTTAATTCTTTCGGTAAAGTCGCGTAGAAGGGAAGTAATAAAATAAGAAAAATAAATTTCGATTTAAAGCTTTCGTGACTGCAGGGATTCATCTTCTTAATTCTTTCGGTAAAGTCGCGTAGAAGGGAAGTAATAAAATAAGAAAAATAAATTTCGATTTAAAGCTTTCGTGACTGCAGGGATTCATCTTCTTGGTTCTTTCGGTAAAGTCACGTAGAAGGGAAGTAATAAAATAATAAAAATAAATTTCGATTTAAAGCTTTCGTGACTGCAGGGATTCATCTTCTTGGTTCTTTCGGTAAAGTCACGTAGAAGGGAAGTAATAAAATAATAAAAATAAATTTCGATTTAAAGCTTTCGTGACTGCAGGGATTCATCTTCTTGGTTCTTTCGGTAAAGTCACGTGACTTTACCGAAAGAACCAAGAAGAAATAAAAATAAAACATGAATTCATTCTTCACCTGAGGACGGCTGCTTGCGTTGTGGCCGAAACGTCGTGTGAATTATTTTATTATGTTTTATTTTTACTATTTTATTACTTCCCTTCTACGTGATGACTTTACCGAAAGAACCAAGAAGGTGAACTTCTTCCGAACCGTACAAGAGCCAACCGTGCCAATCTGCGGTGCGGGGGAAGGCCAGATGATTTCACATCGGAAGAGCGTTCCAGACGGCCGCAGAGGCGCACGTGAAAGCGCCGCGCGCGATGATGCGGTGGCCACCGTCTTTGTTCGACGGCCAAGCAAAAGCCGCCGCCGCTGCCGCTGCGGGGATGACCACCGGAGTTCGCGCGACGATGGCTTCGGCTCCTCAGCGAGGCGTCTCGGTTCATTTTCGGCGCGCACCTCGAACCGCGTGCGACGAGCGTGACCCCGTGACCCCGTGACGAGTTCGTCCGGCGACTGGGAGCCAACGCAGCTTGGCGAGCACCGCACGGGCACGGTGTGGGACCTTGCGCACACAGACGTGTCTGTGTCTTTGTCTACGTGTGTGTCTACGTGTGTGTCTACGTGTGTGTCTACGTGTGTGTCTACGTGTGACGTGTGTGCGTGCGAGGAGCGGTGGTGTAGCGGTTAGCGCAACGCCGCGCTAAGAACCCGGCGACCCCGGGTTCGATTCTCGCTCGCCGCCAACACCACCGGTGACGAGCATCTGAGCCGGTCCTGGGCCTCCACTAGGCCGACTCGGCCGCAAATGAGTACCTGGTGCGGTGTGTGGTAAACATCGCCACTGGGGAGATGTTGCTATGCCACGGTAGGCAGTATACAGATAATTATAGCCGACGGACGTTTTTAAATCCTTTATATTAAGTTCGCTTGCTTGCTTGCGTGCTTGCTTGCTTGCTTACGACCGTGTAAATCTTTCGGTCGTTTTTTAACCCACTTCCCGTGATCCAATCGAGTTGACATTTTCCACACAGACTCGTTGTGCGTGACAATTAATGTTCGTGAAAACATTTTTCCAAAATTTTCCACTTTTTAGGAAAATATTTTTTTCATATTTAATTTAAAATACCAATGTGATAAAAATGAAACTCTTACTCAAGAAAAACAGAAATGAATAATAAAATAAAACCGATGCCACGCATATAAAGGATTTATAGTGAAAAACTTTGTTTTTACGGGTTAATTTTTTAATGACTTGGTACGAAATCTCCTCCTGCCCCCCCCACCACCACCACCCCTACCCATCGGTAGAGGAGACCCCGTGGGGTTTAAAACCCAGCATGGCATCGAGACGTCGCCACGCTCTGCTCCTGACCATTAACATCACAGCCAGAAAAGATGATTACATTTTGGTTAATTGGATGAATCGTGAGGCCCCCCCCCTCACACCCACACACCAGTAGGATACAGCGGTATAGGACACTCCGCCCGAGTCGTAAGCCAACCGCCAAACCACTAAACCGCCCTACAACCGCCAAAACGCCAACAACTGCCAAACCGCCAAACCGTCAACCACTAAATGGCCAAACCACCCAACCACCAATCCGCCAAACTACTCAACCACCAAACCGCCAAACTACCCAACCATTAAACTACCAAACCGCCCAACCACCCAACCACCCAACCACTCAACCACCAAACCGCCAAACTACCCAACCATTAAACTACTAAACTACCAAACCGCCCAACTGCCAAACCGCCCAACCACCCAACCACTAAACTACAAAACCACTCAACCACCAAAAACACCAAAACCACAAAATACACCAAAAACACCAAAACCACCCAACCACCCAACCACCAAATCACCCAACCACCAAATCACCCAACCGCCAAACCACCCAACCACCATATCACCAAACCACAAAATCCACCAAACCACCCAACCGCCAAAAGCTGCCAGCAACCGCCAAACCGCTACCAACCCGCGCCCATCACAGGAAGGCCAGCAGCGAGCGCGCGCACTCGGTGAGCTTTGCTGGCGCCCCCGGCAGGCCGGCGCACCGCTCGGCGTGGGCCCTCACCCCCAGCGCGTCGCTCAGCCTGCGGGCGGCGTCGCCGTCGCCGCCGCGGCCGCGGCGTAGCACCAGCGTGGCGACGCACACGAGCAGCCGGAACGACGCCTCGGGGTCCGGCCGCCGCTCCAGCAGCGCCACGGCCGCCGACAGCAGCTGGGTCATGGCCTCGTCGTCGTCGCCGCCGGCGTTCCTCCTGGACGCGAAGATGGCGGAGAAGGAGGAGGAGGAGGAGGGCTCGCTGTGCAGGACGGCGTAGTTGAGCAGCAGCGTGGCCAGCGCGACCTGGAGAGGCGCGGAGTGGGGTGGTGACACGGGGAGAGATGAAGGGAGGACACGTGGGGGTGTGGGTTGGGGACACGCAGGGAGACGCGGGGGGGGGGGGCATGCAGGGGGAGATGCGGCGGGAGACACGGGGGGGGGGGGACGCGGAGAGAGACGCGGGGAGAGACGCGGGGGGAGACACGGAGATAGCAGGAAAGTGTAAATGATAGGAGATGGTCACATAGGGAAGTGGGGACATGGGGGCACCTCGTGAAGGCACCTTCAAGTTACAGCTCGGGTCAGAATCATTTGCTTTAGAGTCATTGTACCATCGTCTCAGTGCCAGAGCCATAATCCCTGTGCCAGTCTCTGTGCCACAGTCTCGGTGTCACAGTCTCTGTGCCATAATCCCTGTGCCACAGTCTCTGTGCCACAGTCTCTGTGTCACAGTCTCTGTGCCACAGTCTCTGTGCCACAGTCTCTGTGCCACAGTCTCTGTGTCACAGTCTCGGTGCCACAGTCTCGGTGCCACAGTCTCGGTGCCATAATCCCTGTGCCACAGTCTCTGTGCCACAGTCTCTGTGTCACAGTCTCTGTGCCACAGTCTCTGTGCCACAGTCTCTGTGCCACAGTCTCTGTGTCACAGTCTCGGTGCCACAGTCTCGGTGCCACAGTCTCGGTGCCATAGTGCTAAAGTCTCGGTGCCAGCGCTGTCGGGACCGGGCACCTGCACGTTGCGGTTGTCGGAGCCGACGAGCTCCAGCGCCCCCTCCACCACCAGCGAGCGCCGCTCCCGCATGAGCCGACGGCCGGGCTCGCGGCTGCAGGCGTTGCAGAGCGCTCGCAGCGCCAGCATCGGGGCGGCGGCGCCGGCTCCGGGCGCCGAGGTCAGCGCCAGGAGGCGGGAGAGCTGCGCCGGGCCGCAGGCGGCGCCCAGGAAGTGCTTGTTGGGGACGTCGAGGCGCAGGCAGAGGCGCAGGATGTCCAGCGCGGGGAAGAGAAACTCTGGGGGGGTGGGACACGGGGGGGGGGGGGTGAGACACGGTGGGGGGGGTAGACACGGGGGGGGTGAGACACGGATGGGGGGGGAGACACGGGGGGGGGGGTGAGACACGGTGGGGGGGGTAGACACGGGGGGGGTGAGACACGGATGGGGGGGAGACACGGGGGGGGGGGTGAGACACGGGTGGGGGGGGGTGAGACACACACAGTGGGGGGGGGTGAGACACGGTGGGGGGGGGTGAGACACGGGGGGGGTGAGACACGGTGGGGGGGGGGTGAGACACGGGGGGGGTGAGACACGGTGGGGGGGGGTGAGACACGGGGGGGGGTGAGACACGGGGGGGGGGGGTGAGACACGGGGGGGGGGGGAGACACGGGGGGGGGTGAGACACGGGTGGGGGGGGAGACACGGGGGGGGGGGTGAGACACGGGTGGGGGGGGGTGAGACACGGGGGGGGTGAGACACGGTGGGGGGGGGTGAGACACGGGGGGGGTGAGACACGGGGGGGGGTGAGACACGGGGGGGGGGGGTGAGACACGGGGGGGGTGAGACACGGGGGGGGGTGAGACACGGGTGGGGGGGGAGACACGGGGGGGGGTGAGACACGGGGGGGGTGAGACACGGGGGGGGGGTGAGACACGGGTGGGGGGGGGAGACACGGGTGGGGGGGGGTGAGACACGGGGGGGGGGGTGAGACACGGGTGGGGGGGGGTGAGACACGGGTGGGGGGGGGGTGAGACACGGGGGGGGGGTGAGACACGGGTGGGGGGGGTGAGACACGGGTGGGGGAGGGGTTAGACACGGGGGGGGGTGAGACACGGGGGGGGGGTGAGACACGGTGGGGGGGGGGGTGAGACACGGGGGGGTGAGACACGGGTGGGGGGGGTGAGACAGGGGGGGGTGAGACACGGGTGGGGGGGGGGGCACGGGGAGAGGGAGACGCAGGGATGCGGTGGGGATATGGTGGGGTCACGGCAGAGGTCGCAACCGGGTACCCGATACCCAATACCCGTCCCCTACCCGATAGCCGGGTGCGGGTACCCGTTTGCGACCCTGGTGCGGCCGGGTACGGGTAGGCCGTGAGTCACTGGTGAGTCACCGTTTGTCACTCATTTCCCAACGTCTTGTCTCTTCTCACAATTCAAGTTCCTAGAATCAACCCACCCGCGCCTGCAACATGGCTTCATCCCAGAGGTCGCAATCAGGTACCCGATACCCGTACCCTACCCGTACCGGGCCGGGTACGGGTAGGGTACGGGTACCCGTTTGCAACCCTGGTGCGGCCGGGTACGGGTACGGGTAAGGAATCAAAACCGGTTTGCGACCTCTGGGGCACGGGGAGGGTGGTGGGCTGGTAGCCCGGGGGGCACGGGGATAGACGGGGAAAGAACAGGGGGCAGGCAGGGGGGACACACACACAGACACACGAAGGGTGTGACGCGGGAAGGCCGAGACACGGGGGGGGGGGGGGGGGCACGGGGAGAGGGAGACGCGGGGACGCTGGAACACGGCGACAGGGAGACGGAAGAGCTCGGAGAGAAGAGGACGCGAGGGTCAGGGTCGAGATAGAACCCACGACCTCCTGTACACCAGGCGAGGTAGTTAACATCTCCTAGCCACCGTGATGATGATGATGAGAGAGACACGCAAACTCCAAATATACAGCAGCAGCAGCAGGCGTCATCAGGGTCGGGATCGAACCCACGACCTCCTGTGTACCAGGCGAGGGAGTTAACATCTCCTAGCCCACCGTGATGATGATGAGAGAGAGACACGCAAACTCCAAATATACAGCAGCAGGCATCATCAGGGTCGGAATCGAACCCACGACCTCCTGTGTACCAAGCAAGGTAGTTAACATCTACTAGCCCACCGTAGCGCCCCTCTTTCTTTGACCAGGTAAGAAAGCCCCAGTTGGGCCCAGTTATCTGGTGAAATAAAATAACAATTTGTTAATAGTTCAATAAGTTCTTGACTTAAAGCTTTCGTGACTGCAGGAAATCATATTCTTTGGGTCTTTCAGTAAAGTCACATAGATAGGTTCAAAAAATAATAAAATAAACGGAAAAAAACTACGATGTCTCCATCGCAACACGAGCGATCACACCTGATGACCTGCCGACGATCGTGTTACGTTGATTTCATAATGTTTTGAACCTATCTACGTGACTTTACCAAAAGACCCAAAGAATATGAAAATAGTGCAATTGGTATCTGTGGGCCCACTGGGGTTAAACCATCATCTCGCGTGCGATTGGGTGAGCCCTCCTGTGAACGGCGCCGGTTTTTAGCGGTTTGGTGGTTGGGTGGCTTGGTGGTTGGGTGGTTTGGTGGTTGGGTGGTTTGGTGGTTTGGTGGTTGGGTGGCTGGGTGGTTTGGTGGTTGGGTGGTTTGGTGGTTGGGTGGTTTGGTGGTTTGGTGGTTGGGTGGTTGGGTGGTTGGGTGGTTGGGTGGTTTGGTGGTTGGGTGGTTGGGTGGTTTGGTGGTTTGGCGGTTGGGTGGTTGGGTGGTTGGGTGGTTTGGTGGTTGGGTGGTTTAGTGGTTGGGTGGTTGGGTGGTTGGGTGGTTGGGTGGTTGGGTGGTTTGGTGGTTGGGTGGTTTGGTGGTTTGGTGGTTGGGTGGTTTGGTGGTTGGGTGGTTTGGTGGTTGGGTGATTTGGTGGTTGGGTGGTTTGGTGGTTGGGTGGTTTGGTGGTTGGGTGGTTTGGTGGTTGGGTGGTTTGGTGGTTGGGTGGTTTGGTGGTTGGGTGGTTTGGTGGTTGGGTGGTTTGGTGGTTGGGTGGTTGGGTGGTTTGGTGGTTGGGTGGTTGGGTGGTTGGTGGTTGGGTGGTTTGGTGGTTGGGTGGTTGGTGGTTGGGTGGTTGGGTGGTTGGTGGTTGGGTGGTTTGGTGGTTGGGTGGTTTGGTGGTTGGGTGGTTTGGTGGTTGGGTGGTTTGGTGGTTGGGTGGTTTGGTGGTTGGGTGGTTTGGTGGTTGGGTGGTTTGGTGGTTGGGTGGTTTGGTGGTTGGGTGGTTGGTGGTTGGTGGTTGGTGGTTTGGTGGTTGGGGTTTGGTGGTTTGGTGGTTGGGTGGTTTGGTGGTTTGGTGGTTGGGTGGTTTGGTGGTTGGGTGGTTTGGTGGTTGGGTGGTTTGGTGGTTGGGTGGTTTGGTGGTTGGGTGGTTTGGTGGTTGGGTGGTTTGGTGGTTGGGTGGTTTGGTGGTTGGGTGGTTGGGTGGTTTGGTGGTTGGTGGTTGGGTGGTTGGGTGGTTGGGTGGTTGGGTGGTTTGGTGGTTGGGTGGTTGGGTGGTTTGGTGGTTGGGTGGTTTGGCGGTTGGGCGGTTGGGTGGTTTGGTGGTTTGGTGGTTTGGTGGTTTGGTGGTTGGGTGGTTTGGTGGTTTGGTGGTTTGGTGGTTTGGTGGTTTGGTGGTTGGGTGGTTGGGTGGTTTGGTGGTTTGGTGGTTGGGTGGTTGGGTGGTTTGGTGGTTGGGTGGTTGGGTGGTTTGGTGGTTTGGTGGTTGGGTGGTTTGGTGGTTGGGTGGTTTGGCGGTTGGGTGGTTGGGTGGTTTGGTGGTTTGGTGGTTGGGTGATTTGGCGGTTGGGTGGTTTGGTGGTTGGGTGGTTTGGTGGTTTGGTGGTTTGGTGGTTGGGTGGTTTGGTGGTTTGGTGGTTTGGTGGTTTGGTGGTTGGGTGGTTTGGTGGTTGGGTGGTTTGGTGGTTTGGTGGTTGGGTGGTTTGGCGGTTGGGTGGTTGGGTGGTTTGGTGGTTTGGTGGTTTGGTGGTTGGGTGGTTTGGTGGTTGGGTGGTTTGGTGGTTTGGTGGTTGGGTGGTTTGGCGGTTGGGTGGTTGGGTGGTTTGGTGGTTTGGTGGTTGGGTGATTTGGCGGTTGGGTGATTTGGTGGTTGGGTGGTTGGGTGGTTTGGTGGTTTGGTGGTTTGGTGGTTGGGTGATTTGGCGGTTGGGTGGTTGGGTGATTTGGTGGTTGGGTGGTTTGGTGGTTGGGTGGTTTGGTGGTTGGGTGGTTTGGTGGTTGAGTGGTTTGGCGGTTGGGTGGTTTGGTGGTTTGGTGGTTGGGTGATTTGGCGGTTGGGTGGTTGGGTGGTTTGGTGGTTGGGTGGTTTGGTGGTTGGGTGGTTTGGTGGTTGGGTGGTTTGGTGGTTTGGTGGTTTGGTGGTTGGGTGATTTGGCGGTTGGGTGGTTGGGTGGTTTGGTGGTTGGGTGGTTTGGTGGTTGGGTGGTTTGGTGGTTGGGTGGTTTGGTGGTTGGGTGGTTTGGTGGTTGGGTGGTTTGGTGGTTGGGTGGTTTGGTGGTTGGGTGGCTTGGTGGTTTGGTGGTTTGGTGGTTGGGTGGTTTGGTGGTTTGGTGGTTGGGTGGTTTGGTGGTTGGGTGGCTTGGTGGTTGAGTGGTTTGGTGGTTGGGTGGTTTGGTGGTTGGGTGGTTGGGTGGTTTGGTGGTTGGGTGGCTTGGTGGTTGAGTGGTTTGGCGGTTGGGTGGTTGGGTGGTTTGGTGGTTGGGTGGTTTGGTGGTTGGGTGGTTTGGTGGTTGGGTGGTTTGGTGGTTGGGTGGTTGGGTGGTTTGGTGGTTGGGTGGCTTGGTGGTTGAGTGGTTTGGTGGTTGGGTGGTTTGGTGGTTGGGTGGTTGGGTGGTTTGGTGGTTGGGTGGCTTGGTGGTTGAGTGGTTTGGCGGTTGGGTGGTTTGGTGGTTTGGTGGTTTGGTGGTTGGGTGGTTTGGTGGTTGGGTGGTTTGGTGGTTGGGTGGTTGGGTGGTTTGGTGGTTGGGTGGTTTGGTGGTTTGGTGGTTGGGTGGTTGGGTGGTTTGGTGGTTTGGTGGTTGGGTGGTTTGGTGGTTGGGTGGTTTGGCGGTTGGGTGGTTGGGTGGTTTGGTGGTTTGGTGGTTTGGTGGTTTGGTGGTTGGGTGGTTTGGTGGTTTGGTGGTTTGGTGGTTGGGTGGTTGGGTGGTTTGGTGGTTTGGTGGTTTGGTGGTTTGGTGGTTGGGTGGTTTGGTGGTTTGGTGGTTGGGTGGTTTGGTGGTTTGGTGGTTTGGCGGTTGGGTGGTTGGGTGGTTTGGCGGTTGGGTGGTTGGGTGGTTTGGTGGTTGGGTGGTTTGGTGGTTGGGTGGTTGGGTGGTTTGGTGGTTTGGTGGTTTGGTGGTTGGGTGGTTTGGTGGTTGGGTGGTTTGGCGGTTGGGTGGTTGGGTGGTTTGGTGGTTTGGTGGTTGGGTGGTTGGGTGGTTTGGCGGTTGGGTGGTTGGGTGGTTTGGTGGTTGGGTGGTTTGGTGGTTGGGTGGTTTGGTGGTTGGGTGGTTTGGTGGTTGGGTGGTTTGGTGGTTGGGTGGTTTGGTGGTTTGGTGGTTGGGTGGTTTGGTGGTTGGGTGATTTGGTGGTTTGGTGGTTTGGTGGTTTGGTGGTTTGGTGGTTGGGTGGTTGGGTGGTAGGGTGATTTGGTGGTTGGGTGGTTTGGTGGTTGGGTGGTTTGGTGGTTGGGTGGTTTGGTGGTTGGGTGGTTTGGTGGTTGGGTGGTTTGGTGGTTGGGTGGTTTGGTGGTTGGGTGGTTTGGTGGTTGGGTGATTTGGTGGTTTGGTGGTTTGGTGGTTTGGTGGTTTGGTGGTTGGGTGATTTGGCGGTTGGGTGATTTGGCGGTTGGGTGGTTTGGTGGTTTGGTGGTTGGGTGGTTTGGTGGTTGGGTGGTTTGGTGGTTGGGTGGTTTGGCGGTTGGGTGGTTGGGTGGTTTGGTGGTTTGGTGGTTTGGTGGTTTGGTGGTTGGGTGGTTTGGTGGTTGGGTGGTTTGGTGGTTGGGTGGTTTAGCGGTTGGGTGGTTTGGTGGTTGGGTGGTTGGGTGGTTTGGTGGTTTGGTGGTTTGGTGGTTTGGTGGTTGGGTGGTTGGGTGGTTTGGTGGTTGGGTGGTTTGGTGGTTGGGTGGTTTGGTGGTTGGGTGGTTTGGTGGTTGGGTGGTTTGGTGGTTGGGTGGTTTGGTGGTTGGGTGGTTTGGTGGTTGGGTGGTTTGGTGGTTGGGTGGTTTGGTGGTTGGGTGGTTGGGTGGTTGGGTGGTTTGGTGGTTGGGTGGTTGGGTGGTTGGGTGGTTTGGTGGTTTGGTGGTTTGGTGGTTTGGTGGTTGGGTGGTTGGGTGGTTTGGTGGTTGGGTGGTTTGGTGGTTTGGTGGTTTGGTGGTTGGGTGTTTGGGTGGCTGGGTGATTTGGTGGTTTGGTGGTTGGGTGATTTGGTGGTTTGGTGGTTTGGTGGTTTGGTGGTTGGTTGTTTAGTGGTGGGGTGGTTGGGAGGGGGGTGGGCCGGGTCGTACCATCCGGCCAGTTGAGCAGGAGCTCCAGCGCGTCGAGCTGGGTCTCTGTGACGGCGTCCTCCCTGCCGGGGTCGATGGCGCGTTCCATGAGGGAGAGCAGGTCCCGCAGGTCGCTGTCCGAAGCGCGGAGGAGCTGGGGAACCTTTTTGTTGAGGTCGTTGATCTTGGCTGTCGACGAACGCACGCAAAGACGCACGCACGCAAAGACGCACGCAAGGACACGGCACACAAAGGGAGTGTGGGGTCGGCCTGCCGCCTTTGTCAGCCCGATTGCGGCCGATGTTTACTACGCACCGCACACCCAGGCACTCATTTGAGGCCGAGTCGACCTAGGGGAGGCCCCAGGGCCGTGAACGAGCGCTAACCGCTGCGCCACCG